GATACCACATATCCAATACTTCAACATATTAGCTAGGCATAAGTGTACATTCTCCTACACTAGAAAACCCCATGAACTCCAACCTAGTGGCTCCGTTCACATGCCATGTTAAACCAGTCCTTTATGTCCCATCCAGACCAGTATGTTTTCTATAGCCTATATTTTACAACCATGCAGACCCACTATAGTCTAGGCAACCACTTGAAATCGCCAAAATTTAATATCAATCGATTGTAAATCAAATTTGATATCCAATAGTACTAGCCTCATGCCTAATGACTATATTTAACCCATAATGACCACTTGGGAGTCTGAGTCATAGTTGCTTTAGCAGCCGTGCCCTCCACGGCAATATTATCATATAGAGCAATTTGACAGTGCCCGATATTACCACCGATATCCCCAATACTCCACTTTCCTGGCATGCATTTGCATCCCCCGTTGAGTCATCAACCAGGCCCACATCCCCTGGCCCCTTGCACCCGTCACTCCCCATCGCGCTCCATGCCCCCCCAGGTCTCTGGGCCAATGTGTCTCCTTCCCTCAGGCTCTGCCACAAAGTTGCATCAGTCAAATCGGCGAGCGGCTCTTCCTCCATAAACCCGTTGGCTCAATTTGTTGGGGAAGGCCCCCCCTACTTAGCAAGAATGCTCGGACCGCCACGTCTCTCTAGCCCCGTTCATGGCCAGTCAACGTAGGGGCAAACACTCGCAGGCCCCTCCGGGAGAAAACCACTTGGGCAAAAACAAAGGCCTAGGGGAGGTTGTTGGATACCTCAAATAAGAGAGAGCCAACCTCACATGTTTGCTCTAGCTACATGCTGCAGGGCCCTTTCTATCTGACCCCGGAGGCAAGGGCAATGGTCGTTGAACAAAAATATAGTGCACACCAGTCAAGCGGGGGTGAGCGCCGCCATAGGGAAATGCGAGCATCGCAGAAGTGGGGTGCTTCAGATGTGCTTCGCCGTCTAGGATGCTTAGTGGTGCAAGGTTACATAAGCTTTCCCCGGATGTTGTCGCTTTTAATCGGTACATAGTTACCATATGTTGGTGTCAACTCGCACATCACGATTCCCCTTGGATGTAAGGTTATCTTACTCTTGCTTACTATCGGACTGGCTCCCAATGGTCAAGGCCCCACCATACTGGAGTCCCTTAACTTGGTTATTCTGGGCCCCACGGGGCACCAGCTTGGCGCATAAGAGGGTTTCTTTTATTATTATAGATTGCCCTCATTATTAGAGCCTCAAACATAGATCATATGGATGTGGACAAAAAACATCAACAAAACCACACCGATTCGCACACTGGGAGCATTAACTCTGACTAAAAATGCCAAAATTCGGAAACTAATCAGAAACTAATTCAACTCGCAAAATGGTGGTGCCATGGACGAGCCCTACCAAAATCCGATCTTCAATATCTCGCTATTGGTGTTTAGGCTAAACTGATTGAATACACACCGTGACTTGTGTGCAAAGGCAACCGTATAGACTACGATGACAAGGTACTTACAATATCACGAGCAATTTTTTTGCATCAAAACACTCTAGAATTGGGTAGCACATCTTTGCAACTCGGAAGCTACCCAAAATGCTGCACTTAACCTTATGCACATTACCTCATCCAATGATATTTGATTCATGCAGAGTATTGTCAATTCTGGATATCCACATAATGTTGCGGCCCTGTCGGCAGCCGCTGGTTTTTGGAGCCGTTGGGGTCGCCCTGCCCAGCATCACGGCTGTTGGAGGTCAGCCGCCCTCTCCACCTTGGATGGTGGGCATATCCGAGGCAGTCGCTTCCGTTGTTGCGCAGTGGGCCCAATGCTCGACGAGGATCGATCCCCGGGGCCTGCTGTCAGCGAGAGGTGGCGGCGCAGTGAGGCGGTGGTTCGCTGGCTCGCGGGAGGCCAGAGAGTGGGCCAGAAGTGTTACAACGATTCACTGCATGCGCGCGCACATATCACATGCGCGATGCCCGATCGTGGGTCCACCGCGGTCACATCAAGACAAGACAACACAATGCGCGTCCAGGCACATCGTCACCGTCCACCGTTCACCTACGATCGACCTAATGTCCTCTAATTCCCTTGCCCTAAGTACTACGACTTCAGGAGGCCATATCTTCGCCGTTTCTCAACCGAATCGGGCATTTAAAAGCTCGTTGGAACCATGAAAAAAGGTCAATTTCCTCAATTAAGTAATTCCCACTCCATAAAACGTTAGTAACTGCCTAACCCCAAGCAGCCACGTCATACATAAGATTCCCTCCAAGCCTATCCTATACAGGAATAGGTATACCTTTCGCAACTACTGTACAATGGTTTGATGTATTATACCTTGTGGTAGTTTGGTATATCATAGTTTGATATATCGTCCCTTCACATAGACCTGATGCAGAAATTGCTCGCCCTTCCGCAAAGCACAATTCAATCATAGGTTCTATGAGCATAATCTCTTGGCAAAATGTCATTCCAAAAATACTACCACACTTGACACAATGGCCATGTTGTTGATTCAAACTGCTACTAGTTGAAAAAAAAACTTGTTACAAAAACTGCCCATCTACTATGAAAGAATTTAAGAATCGGAGCATTTGGGTCCTAGAGTTCTTACATACCATTCTCAAGAAGAAACATCAGCTACAACCTGTTTGAGCATTGGGCGGAACATATATTCTGTTCTTTTTTGAGGAAACATTCGATACTTACTAAGTAAAGGACTTGCTGCAAAGCACTGCTGAGTTGCCAATACTTAACAAATTAACTCAAATTTTGACCTTATATTGCGAAGTGATTAGCACAACTTGGGACGAGTTTCGCCCAGAACTGAAGCCTATGATGAAGATGTAGGAGCCCAAAGTTAGAGGACAACCACATCCATGACCTTCGCCTCTCTACCCTCATACGTCAAAACAAATGCCACCTTATGTAAATGCTATATATAAACCTTTAAATGCCACAACCAACAAGTTAAATGCCTTATTGACTGCCGAGTCCTAACAAATTTGTTAGGCGTTCCTTTAAAGGCATCTACATCAACAAATACAAAAGAACAAAAGGATATGACATCACAAGTTCCTGCAAACCACCCTGAATTATTCGCATATCACTCGAAATTTAATTCCATGGGGATTTGATGTTTTGCTCACAGCAGGCTTTGTGGAGCTAGACATAGAGACATGCCGACATCTTGGCTCTTTTTCTATCTGATCGGCTAACACATCAAATTTCTGGCTTGCAGTTGACTTGAGTGCATGCGCACAACTGCGCAAAGTTGTCAATGGGGCACATGATACAAATGGTCCTTAATATTTAATCATTTCCTCTGAAGTTGATCGCAAGATCCTATACGTTGTGTGCACGTCTTATAGCCCCGCCGGGCCCCATTGCCCCGCTTGGCCAGTCCTGCACGGTCACGCTCATTCTTCCAATCTACCCGAGTAGAATTGCCTAGCAATTTGTCGTGCAGTATTGGGCCGTTCGCTTGCACCGTCAGGTTGCTTTTTTTGCCACTCAGCTGACTCTGAGTGTCACCCCTAGTGTAAAATGCGATTTCGATAGTGAGTAGCATCTCCAACAGGTGTAAGCAATCGCATATGGCAAGTGTACAATCGCACTAATGTGTCGCCATCATATTGATTGGGTGCAGAGAATCACTGCCACTGGTGTATTCTCTGTTTCGTTTCCCAGGGCGTCAATATATACGATTGTCACGATGATTTAACTTTCCAATTATAACGTGCAATTATTGGCGACTCAAGTGCAGTAATATATTCAATCCTTATGCATTTTGAATTCTCATCATTGCAAGTTTGTTCTGCATTTTCTGTGGCAAATCATGGATTACATTTTTGCGCTCCGCATCATGGTCACCACCGGAATGGCGGCTCCACCTAGTTCACATGCCATTGGCCTCAAATGCCAGTTTCAAGTCGCAGTGACTAATGCATTCTGGGATGCCAGATGCCACGACTAGACCAGATAACATCGCGTCGCGGCTGTTCCCTTTTTGGCCTCTGCTGGGGCCGCTTTGGCAATGCCTGGATAGTTATAGCCACAGCAGGGGACATTTACAAACGGCTTCGGGTGCAGCTCGTTCACCCAGCGGAAGTGCTGGTTGCGGCTAAACCAACTCCTGTTGCTGCCAGCCACAGTGTCGTTTCTTTGGATGCTCTGCTTTTTCTTGAACGTTGAATCCAATAATGGTTGTTGTAGCTCTATCTCTGGGAGTTCGTGTAGAAGTTACTACAGACAATCTGCAACAGGTTTCCACACCACCTCCACTAGATAACCAGAGGCCTGAATCCGCCACCAAGTACACCATCCCGGAGAACGCTGCGTGTCACAGCAGACGCGTGCGCGCCCCCACCCCACCCATGCACCCACCGCCTGTGGATCGCTGGCGCTCGAAGCAGATCAGGCTGTCTGGTGTTTCGACATTGTGGTCAGGTGCACCGGCAAACATTTTCTGAACAACAGCACAAGGTTAGACGCAAGATTGCGTCTGCCCTCAGCTGGCAGCAGTACTTGGTAACCAGTTGCCATCTGCGCTGACGGCAGCCATCTATGTGGCATATCTTGTGGCAATTGCTTGGCAATATTGAAGGCGTCAGCAGCCAGTGCCATGGCTGCCCGTCCCGAGGAGAACAAAGAGCATAGGTAGGGACGCGCGGCTCCAGCCGTTGCCACTTGTTCTTCTCCCTATGGAGAGAGACACCTCTCCGTCTGCGAACGCTCCTCCGGGTTGAACAGGGCCCGCCCATGGCACTCAGCGATTCAACCAATCATTACCAATCATCACATAACAAGAATATGGATGGGGAAATTCAGCGAATCCCCCTACAAATTTGGAGCCAGCGGGTACGTTTCTGCTGTACCTGCCCGCACAACCCCCCAGCCGACCGCGCCGGGCAGCGGCACGCGGGAGGGTCAAATCGGTCCCCGCCGTTTGGCCCGCAGGGAACAACCGGCGCACCGCACACAGCGGGCCGCCCAACATGGCGCACATCGTGGCCAGCAGCCAGCACTGCCTGCCCCAACAGCCCGGTCAGGCCCTGGCGCCCCTGCCCACCTCGCCTGCCAAGGCCCCCCTGAGGACGGCCGTGGCCGGGGCGCACAACCCGAACTCGGTGAGTGGCATCCGTCCCAGGCCCCGGCGTGTGTGCGCACCCTTGGGAGACGCCTGCCGTCTCATGATCTACGGGCGTCTGTGGACCGGTCGTCCTGCCTGGGTCAGTCGCGGAATCCGCATCCTCGGTTCAGGCTGAAGGGCGGGTGGGCTGGGCGCTTGGTGCGCGTGGGGCCGCCGCCGATTGGGCGCTGCTTGCAGGATGGCATGCGTTCACGCGGGCGCATCCGAGAGGCCGGGCCTCGCGCGGCGGCTTGAAGCGAGGGTCGGTGGCTTGGCATTGGGTCCGCGGCGGGGATGGGTGGCCTGGCGTTGTTTGTTGGTTTGGGGCGGGAATGCGGGGGGTGGGGGTGATGTGGCGCACTGGGGCGGCAGAGATATGGGGCCTTACGGCGAATCATTCTGATGGCCCTGGCTGCCTTCCCGCCGAGCGTTGGAGCGCTGCGACGGTTGGCGCCCGCGCGGTGTTGAGGGGGTTTGTTGGATGTTTTCTTCCCGTGCCTGACGCCCCAGGCCCTGCGGGGCTGTGCTGCCAGCGCCAGCGGCGCCTGCGTTTGCGCTTCGGTGGCGCCAGTTTCTGGGCTCCGTGGGAGCGTCCGCTGTGCTGGAAGATACCCTCGCTTGGGCTGTGACGACGTCGACATTGTTCAAGTTGCGTTGTCCTGTGTTCACTCAGACATCCAGCCTTACCCTGTGGGAGCTGGAAGACTCCCCAGTGGTCCTATTGCAGCGTGCTTCCATTCAAAAGTTGAAACCTGGACATTTGTCCATCGATTTTTATCTCCCCCTGAACTGGATTGAATTGCTGCGTCGCAGCCACAAGATGGCCACTGTTTGAACAGCGTTGGTCACAAGCAAAGCCTTACAAGTTGCCCATCAGTGTCAAAGACACATGCCCAAGTGCAGCATTGTGGAAAATGTGGAGCTGAAAAGAAATGTCCTGCTGTGGAGTGTGCGCCCAGCTTGCCAAACTATCTTTGGGTATGCACTTCCCTACAAATGCTCTTCTCTTGCTCAAAGACATGGTGCGCAGCTCTGCGTTGCCTTACTGCGCTACTAGGTGAAAGCGCTGCTGTCTGTGAGCTGCTGTTGTGGTGTGTCTACCCAAAATGGTGTTCTCTTTTCAAACAGGCTGGGGCTCGGAACATGGGAAGTCAAGAGGGTGACATGCTGGAAGCACATCGGGACGCAGGGAAAGGCCCTTTGGGAGACAGGCACAAGTTCATAAAGTTCAAGCTGGAAAAAAGAGGTGTACGGAAAAGCAGCAAGGTGACTGGTATAATTAATGATATAATGATGCTCACCCTAAGAAACAATTTTCCAATAAGTTGGGAATCCTGCCTAGAACAAGAATTCCGGGTGATCTGGTAACAATAATGGTATCATATAGCAGTGTTGCAAATAATGTTGGAAACTAAGGTTGGAACTGTTGGAAGGTGCTGGAGTAGATGTTGGTTGATTTTGTGTTGTCCAAAGGATAGGCAAAGCTTTGTTGACGATGCAGTGAAATGGTGATGTCTGAATTCAACAGGCACAGAATGCAGCAGAGTGACAAGTGCTGAAACAAGCAGTCTGACATGCAGTTTGCCTGGACTGGTGCTGTGTTTGCCTCAGAGGGTGAAGCACCAAGTGCATTATTGTATGCATGTTTTGATCAAGCCTGGTGCTGTTTTTCCTGGCAAAGATTCGCGTAGGCTTGGCTTGTGTCAACTCCAGCTGCCTTGAGTTTGGGGGTGCAAGAATCAAGCAATTTGGAGCCCAATATCACCCCCTGATGTGTGATGTAGGATGCTGAGGAGCCTGTTCAGTTTCACAAAGGTGGGGGAGAAGTGGGAAGGCAGTTCTTGGACGTGCCAATGGATCTTTGTGATCGGACACTAAAGATAGTGCATCCAAGCGACAAGACTGTTCGGACAGGGAAAGTCCTCTCCTGGAACAGCCAGAAGGTGAAGGACTCTGTTTGTGCCAGTGGTTCACTTGCAGCAACCACTTTGGCCTGTCTGCTGCTACTGCTGCAAGCTTTAGTGGAGCTGTTGAAACACATTTCCACACAAGACCTGTGCCAGTGGTTCACTTGCAGCTACCACTTTGGCCTGTCTGCTGCTGCTGCTGCTGCAAGCTTTAATGGAGCTGTTGAAACACATTTCCACACAAGACCAACACAGTGGGAACCTTCAGTTGGCCCTAGAATGCCAGAACACTGATGGGCATATCCTAAGAAGGATGACCAGGGGTGGGGTGCGTGGGTGGGTGGGGAATCATCTGTAAAGACGTTGTAATACAGAGCAGTTTATGGGGTATTGACAATTGCCCAGTAATGTTTCATGCCCTGTGTTGCCCGTGCAAAGTTGGTTGTTGGGGCATTAGTGTGAGGCAATTGATCACTTAGTGGTCAGGATCAGATTCAGGCAGTCACATATCTGCTGTTGTGGGCGCCGCTTGCACATTTATAATCACCACTGCTCAGAATGTTGTTTTGTGGCCATGCCCTTTTCTGCTTGTGCTTTCACGTGCATAAAATTACCTGCTCTGCAGACTTTCTGGTTGTGTTAAGTTTGTGTCAAAAAAGGAGACAAATCTATTCGCTATTATGTAGTACCTGTTTTTTGAAGCCATGCTACCAAGGAACCAAATGATGTTATCTTGACCAGGTTTTGGTGCCATTGTTTGCCACTATCTGGCAACATTTCTGGCAACATTTTGGTGATATCTGACAGTCCAAGTGTTGTGACTTTGCAGAAAGAGCACAGGATCACATTGGCTGGTGGGGAAACTCTTGATGTTGACCTTACAACGAGTGATTGGCTCCTTTGCAATGAGGCAGCAGCAGGGCGAGAAGCGACTACAAGGGAGGCAAATGGAAATGCAGCACAGGGAGACACCCCTCACACAACAAATTACAGCTCAGACAAAACTGATCGGGTACTGCTTGTGTGCTAGCTCTGTTCAAGAGTGGTGAATGGCATTCAACATGTGTCATAGAGATGTCAAGTGGGAACAACTTCATTTGTCAATATTTCATTAATAATCAAACAGCTAACAAAGTCACAGTCTGCACTATGTTGGAAAGTTGAGTAATGACATGGTCATCGTTGGTGTATGCTATAATAAGAGCATTCTCATGACTACTGGAGATGAGGTTGATGTTGAATGAGCATATCAAGAGAGGGGATGGAATGGAGGAACTTTGACTGAACAAATTTGAGGTTTCGTATTCAAACACAGCTGAATTCATGCATTGTAATAAATGCCAGAGTTAGGAAAGCTGTGTATTCGCAGGTGGCGTGGTGGCAGGTGGCATGGTATTGTTACTTTGTGCTTTTCCGGTACAAGCAGCCCTGGTAGTTGCTGATTCCCTTTCATGTCTGCTTTGTTTACCTGCCACCACACTTAACTCTTGTTTCTTTTGTGGCCTGTTCTAGTGTCTTTGCATTTGGGTGTTTCATGTATGGGTGATCATTGACATGAAGCTTTTTTCACAGAAGCAAAATCTGTAAATGCAAGCATTATTTTGTCATCAGTGTTTGTAATAGTCCTGTAACAGCTCTGCTAGGAAATAGCAAGAGACAGGCAACAAATTTACATTTATTGTGGTGTAGAAACACTTGCAGAAGATGCATGGATACTTGAGAGATAATTTCATGTCAATGGGGAGCTTCTAATCTTGTGTGGATATCATGTGATGCCATTATGTTCCTTGTTGCAAGTGAATGGGTTTTGTCTTTTCAGCACTATAAAGATATTGTTTGCTGGATATTTTTGTTCATTTGATGGGTGTGTATTGAAGTCAATGGTGGCCAGGTATCCATTGCTTTCCCACCCTTGACCATTTCCTCCAGATGGTAGCCATTTGTTTGCTGGATATTTTTGTTCATTTGATGGGTGTGTATTGAAGTCAATGGTGGCCAGGTATCCATTGCTTTCCCACCCTTGACCATTTCCTCCAGATGGTAGCCATTATCCGTACAAGGTTCACAATTTGTTGCTGATTGGAGTGTAGTTACTTGTGCAGGAATTGGACTTTGATGGTGTGGGATCTGGAAAAGGCAGTCGGAAAAGGCCAGCTAACATGGCGCTGGATGATCAGGTGATGAAGTGTCGTGTTTATTTGTTCAAGTCTAAAGTCCTTGTTGTGCCTGCATTGATCTACATGAATCTTGTTCTCAGCATTGGATGGAGGGGCCATTAAAGGACTGCTAGTGTAGTTACCTGTATGATCACGATTACAGTAATCTGTGCGATGTCAATTGACAGCAATCTTGGACAAGGCAACCTTGCATTGGCCTTCTCTCCAGTGGAGATAACTATGAAGGCACTTCATGGTAATATGCAGTCAGAAACTGTTGCTAATTTGCCTTGGTGTACAGCACTTGTTTACCTTCATTTGTATACAGGACAAAGCTCTTTCTGTGGTTATATTTAATCCCCAGGATTGACACATAAAATTTGTCTAAATTTGTGTTTATTGTGTGCATAGTTTGGCTTACCTCAGCTTTCGCATGGGATTGGCTTGATACCTCCCAAGGGTCGTAGACCGTACAGACAGGGTGGCTGCAAGGCTGGACGGTACATGAAAACAGAGGACCTTGTAGGACGACGGGTGCACATGTGGTCATCCAAAGATTCTGTATATGTGGCTGCGGGTGTGGCTGAGTACGATCGAAGTCAGGTGCAGTTGCTGAGCTTGTATGATGCTGGCAAGTGAAAACTTACTGCATTGTTAAGCAGGGAATTGAAGTGGTCGACTGGTGGGAACAGTCCTCCCACTTTTTGCATAATCATCAAGAGCTGCCCATGTAATGTCAATTGCCTTCTCTGTGTGTATCCATGTCAGGGACTCTGTCTGCATGCGTTATGCATTAATTTGAAGGGTATAATTTTGTTAAACAATATCAAATCGGCAGGCAAGTCCAGGCGATTCAGCATGGTCAACTTTAGTGCTTTGATTCAGTGCACAAAAATCTACATTTGCTAAAATTTAGCAAATGTAGATTTTTGTGCACTGAATCAACATTTAATGTTGATGCAATTGTAAATGTGTGTGCAATCCCTTGATTTGTATGCCACTCATTTGATATATCATGCTGACATCTGTGCTCAGTGTAAGTCCTGCAACAGCTGGTGTCACTGGCTAAGTTTCGGTAGTACTTTGTTGACAATTGCCCATCAGTGCCAAATTACTTGTATGAGATTATCATCTTTTTGATTGCATTGTGTTCACAGTATTCCCTGAGTCCTGGGTGGGTGTAGATTTTCCAGCAAGTTGATAGCCTCTCAAGTTTCATGGTCCGGGACCATGCCATCATAGCATTCATCACCATAGTGATGAATAATATGATGCTGATGTTTGCCATAACTATGGATAACAAGCCCTACTATAAGGCAATAATCCTGTTGCCTAGCAACAGCAGTTGTTAAGGGCCGTGTGCCATGCTATGACAGGTTCGAATCATTCCCATGTTTGGCCACTGCCTCGAACTGTCAACTTTGGTTCCCCAATTGTGACATTGTCACACAGCTTGTCAAGCTGATACAATTTGGGTAAAACTGGTGATGTGGCTGAAATGTCAATTGCATTACAATACCAGGTTGCCCATTGCATGGACTGAGGACAACAACACTAGTTGATGCAGCAGATGGTGCCAGATTAGGTGACTTTGTGGATGGCATGACTCTTGTGCCCAGACATGTGCATTTCTGTGCCTCATGAAACGCATCTCTGATCAGAGAGGCAAGCATGAAACAGTGTAGCCTGCTTCTCCTTGCTGACTTGCCTAATGCATTTGCATGTTGGAGTATGCTGGTATGTGGTAAAGCGCATGGCACTTACCTTAGTGTGAGTGCAACATTCCCTCTCTGAAGCTGACTTATTATTATTGTGCACAAAGGGCTTGCATAAGGTCATCTACTTGGATGACACCAGTGAGTGGATAAACATGGAATCAGCCATCTGGAGACTTGGAACCAGTGAGCATGTGAGTGGTTGCAGATGGAATTGCTCCATTTGGCTAGTATGCATATATAAACGAACACTGAAGCCATCAATTTGCCATACTTGACATTCAGAACAGAATAAAACTGGCTGCAATGTTCTAAGTATTGACAGAATGGGCATTGTGAGGGTGAGCAACAACTCATAGCATACATAGCATACATAGCATGCATACATAGCATTATGGTGCAAACAAGATGTGGTGAATATGGTGTCAAGTTATCATGAAATGTACGTGGGACAATGGAGACATGGAATGTACACGTTTGTAGTGAACATTATGTGATGGAGTCGCTCATCCTGTAATGCATCTCGTTGCGGCTTTGCTTTCCGTGCTGGGGAACAACTTTGTGTGCGGAACCTTGCTCTTTGTCTCAGGCAAGGCTGGTAAGATTCTGTTGTAGATGTATTATTTGCCATTGAGCAATAAACCAACAACATGGCAGTTGCAAAGATTGTGTGGAAATCAAGGTGTGCCTTGCATTTGTACTCATAGGAACTGCATCTGCAGATGTACTATGGCAGCCAGACATGTGTTGTCCAATCGAGGCAAGCCACAACTCAGACAGTGAATCAAAGATGTCAACCAAAGAGCAACATAACCATGCATTGACAAAATTGCTCCACAATTAGGTTTACAACTGCACTTGGAAATTGCAGTGGCAAGGAGAACAAGGCCACAACTAAACTGGAAATATTCAACATCACCACTTTGGATTTTTGATGGGATGCAGTTTGCTGCATGCTGTGAAATGTGCTGTTGCAGCTTGGGAGTGCCCCTTTACTTTTCCACTTGTCCATTCCTCCAAGGAGTGCTTACCCTACTCATTTCTTTTCTCATTCCTTCACATGCAATAGTATTGATCAGTGCAAAATTTGGATTCTTTAACGCAATGCAACACTGCAGCAAAGACTTTTGGCCTAGCACCACTGGTGTTAGTCTTCCAAGCATGAATGATCTTTATGAAGATGAGCACACAGAGCCCATTCAGTGAAGGGATTGCCAGTTGAATATGCGCACAGGGAGCAGTGTGCACTATTGCATCATGTTGTTGACATAACCTTTTGCTTCAGAGGAAACTTGGTGGCATTCGCTCTTGGTATCCATGCTCAGTGTCCATGCTGCATGGCCTTGGACATGTTGATCACAAATTTCTGTTCATTTGCACTCAGCCTATTTGTAAGACATTCTGGGCACCACCACCCCCAGTTGTATGCCTAGTTTCATTCAGGGTGCATATGTTGTCCCACATTAGGTTATACAATCTCCAACCAATCATTAGCCCACTTCGTGTGTTGTCTTTTTTGGTGATAGCACACTTGATGTCTGGAACCCCTGTGTTACCATGGTTATATCTTCATGTATACCATTTGGCTGGCCAAGTTTTTTGTTTAAATTGGGGCTTCCACTTTAGTACAAGTGGAGCACAGTCAACAACGGCGAAATTGGGCATGTTTTGCTGTTGTGATGTGAACAGTCCTCTGATGCTGCACTGTTGCATCTTCACAGGATTTCCTATACCCAGAACATTTTGACAGAGATGTGCTGGGTCAGGATGGCACCCGCGACCAGCTGTTGTCATTTGATGGGCAGAGAGACATTGCGGCTGCTGGACTTGTGGCATTAGCGGGTGCCGACAGAGGCACTGCCGTGGCAGCAGATGCAAATGATGGCATGGGGGCAGATGAAGCACCTAGAACTACTGACATGGGTATGGTCAATACAGAAGGTGATTTGTATTCTCGTGTGTGTGGAAATGATAGGCATGTGAATCCTCCAATATGGGTGATGCCACATATGAAGGCGCTTTGTTGGAAGCTCGCATCAAGTTTTCTGCAGATATCACAATGTTGAAAGAAGAATGCATATTGTCGACAGAATGGGCTGGTTGAACTGTGGTCCATGATGCAATTTGGTGTTCTTTCTCTTCACTAGTGCAATGTACTAACACCATGTAATGCAATGCTTCACCTTCGAGTAATGGGATAAGAGGTGTGCACAGCATGCATGGTGAATATACTGTAGAGGGGCTGCGCAGCTGGGCCATTTCTTGCCATTTCTTACCATGCACAATGAATATTTGATCAGTCTGAAGGGTTCCTTCAGAGAAGCATTTGATCTGTGCTTGACAGCAGTATCTCCACAGTCAGAGGTAGAAATAATGATCTTGAAATGCCGCTCAAGATGGCGTACATGAAGCTCATCACAAGGTGTGTTCCCTTTTGGCGTCAGGCCCTGAAGTCGGCAAAAAGTTGGTGGCATCCTCTATGGAGTTCCAGGTGCATAAGGTGAACACCCCAAATAGTGGGTATCATGTATTGTGCTCCGTACCTCCTGGCACCAAGATAGGCGATGTCCACGTCACTTGCGGAAATGCATGCATCATCATTGAACATGGCAAGAACAAGAAGCAGGAGGTGAGAGCAGAAGTATACCCTAAAAATTGCAGGACTTCTTTTTTTCTTCCTCACAATACAGAATGATGATTAATTTGGTATCATGTCCATTTTGCACGTGGCTAGGCACAATCCTGCATCGTATATGTTGATTTTCATATGTTGTTTATGTGTGTTTACATTGTGCACAATATCTTTCATTAAGAAATGCCACCTCATGTTTGGGAGGCAGTATTTGCATCATGTGTTTGTTACATTGTCTCGAATGGCAAATCAGTGCACATGATTGGAGGCACCATGATTATAAACCGTGCCCTCCAGAATTGCAGAGACTGGATGCATGCAACAGATTTGGCAATACATCGGGTTGCGTCACTCAGGGCCAGAATTCAAGCAGTTATGGTCCTGCCAACTGCACCAAGAGTTTGCCCCCTAGCTGGGGTGCCTTCAAGGTTGAAAGGGGCCACAATGGATCACAAATTTTAGCAGATATGAGTGCACAATGGGGGGGGTGTTGTATTCGTTTTGCCACGATCTCCTCCCCATACATGGAGCAAAGATTTGTAGAACCGTTCCTCTCAGCACTGCTACCAAGTGCATTTCTTGGCTTCCGAGATACCAGCACAATAGATATTCAACCTGTCCACACAAGACATAAGATGAAGTATGCATATTGGGCAAGGACTCGGGCCTTAAAATTGTTCATTCATACCGACCCTTGCATGTTTCACATTATCATATCATTTGAGAGAAACGTCTTGTACACTTTGAAGTCCAATAATCTGAATACCCCAGTGAACAGAGGGCTTTCAAAGCACACATCCATTTGGTGTTGGTCTTAGGACACTAGAAAATTTGCAGACAATGTTGGATCCCAGGTGTGCTGGCAGTGATGATAGCTAGCTTGAGAAAATATTGCATGGATATGAAGGTACGCTTGGTAATATTGCGAGCCAGGTAATCAGCAATACCTCAGCACTGCCATTTCTTGCATCTGGGTATGTATCGAATTGTAAACAGCATTCTCTCCATGAACTGATTTCCCTGGCACACTAGTTGAGAGCATCCCACCAAGTGATCCATTGAATAAAGCAGCATGTGAGTTGGCAATGTAATGCTGCTTGCCTCTGCAAATTGCAGTGCTCAAATGGGGGCGAGGGGATTGTGCATAAAAAACGGAGACATGCAAGGGGGGGAGGTGGGAGGCTTGCAAGCTAGTGGATCAGCATGAAAGGGAGTGATGGTGCATGATGTTACAGACCAAGAGGGCCAGTGGTCCCAACTGCTACATCACACATGGGTTTGCCTGTAGTCATGTGTGACGACGGTTTTGGTTGTTATTGGGTGGGTGTGGCCAATGTGGATGGTAACACTTGGCACCATACGCCCCCACCCTCCACCCAATTAGCAACAACCAGCACCTCGCAGTGTGATGTGGGACTGTAGGCAACTGTAGTGTCAGTGGAATTGAATTGCGGTGATGGAGCGATAGTGACATCATCATTGAAAATGCACACTGTGCCCCTCTCATAGGCTCTTTGCAAGTGCATTACCATAGTATATTCAACCCTTCCACATCCAACAATTTTACAGTTGCACTTTTTGACCTGCATTGTTTAGAGGCATTGTTTTTATTTTTATTTTTTACTTTGCTCTTTTACTCTGCAAGAGTTTGATGTTTTCTACACAGAAAAAGGCCAAGCATTATGCTACTATGCAGAATGGTTGAATATACTGCAGTATCCATGTTGTGGCAAAATCTTCACACTTTGCCTCCCTCACTCCCATTGCCAGCCACTATAACTCAAACTAAATAGAATCTCCATGACCGGTCTTCACAAAGAGTGAAGGACACACACCCTATCCTATGCCTGAGGACATGCCTGGGGTGCAAATTAATGACTTGAACCACGAGAGGTTTTGTTTAATTTGTTGTGCGTTGTTCACACAGATGCCCCAGTGCTCTTTACCCGATATTGTGCAAATTTCTGCTCACAAGTGTGGAAAGCCCAACCAACAGTCTGGTGGCCAGTACCCTTACATGCTTGAAGCAAAACAACACATCAGGCCTGCACTTGAGTCGCTGCCAAGCTGAGTGTGTTCGCTTGTTGTCCACAACATCTGTGACATTCGAAATTTGCACAGGCTGCACAGGTTGCACAAAAAGTGGTGCTGATGCTGCCTTTCATCCATTTCAGCAATTCCCTTGTCCCAATCTCTCCACAGCAGGCCCATTATAGCAGTGTGGGGGGTTACGAAACGGCTTTTGCTGGTGATTTGTCCATTGGTGCTTCAGGATCAGCCAGTTGGCTGATGCTCTGTGCTGATAAGGGCTTAGCAGCCCATTGTTGATGAAAGACGCATGTGTGTGCTTGGAGGGGAAGGGAAGGGGGGGCAGCACCCCCCCTTTGCTGGCCAGCAAGTTGTTTCACTTCACGCTTGTGCCAGGTTCAACAGTTTTGATTAGCAACTACTTCTCTGTCTGGAAATAAATGAAACAGTTTGCATGCGAGGCTCCTTTTGTATCATGCACTTGTTGCTTTTCCATCAAAATTGGGCCAAAGCGCCCCCTACAAGTTTTCTAAGTGCTGCCAAAATTTTTGTGGAGAACGGATAAGTACTCGTCACATAGCAGTACTTTGAATTGTGCGACTCTGGCCAACAAGTCGACATTCTCAAGGCGTCACCAAACAGCCCCGTAAACTTGGTACTTGCCTGGATCACCTTGCGACTGATGTTCCCTGACGTAGAGTGGATATCTGCAGCCGCCATTGTGGCTGGACATCGGAGCTGTTCTTTCTGAGGCAAGGAAGCCTCAGAACCAAGTTTTGCACCAATCACTTGTCAATTGTGACTGTATTTTTGACAGCTTGTAGAGGATTTTGGCACTGAAACTGGAAATCCAGGAATCAGCGAAATTCGAAATCACGGCCTTGTCAGTAATGGTCGCTACCATGGGCGAGGTTGTTGTAGATGCTGAGACAACCACAAAAAGTGTGGAAGAACCTGACCGTCGCCTTTGAGCGCAGCAGTCAGAAGATCGGTGGAATGGTTCGTGCTGCGGACATGCCACAAGGAGCATTTCAAGAGCCATTTGTGCATCTTTAACAGATGCCTCTGCAGCAGAATCTCGTGGGTGGCAGGATTGGGCGTTCGTAAGGCCAAACACCTGCCCCGGGAAAAGCGTCTCCCTGGGCCTCCCCACGCGCCCCCTGCTGCCTTGTGAACTGCGCCCCTCCCCCACCCACACCATTCTCCGCCTCTCCCGCTGCCCCCTCGCAGTGTGGTGCGTTGCTCAGCTGGTGGCCCATTGCCATGTCGTGTTGCCATGACCTTGCCACAGTTCGGGGATGACATGTGGGCCAAACTACAGTGATTGGCCCCCTGCACCAGGCCACTATGTACACCATAGTGTTGTCTTTGGTCGATTTGCGCATGACTTGCGATTTATGTACTGCAGGTGAAATGTCTGTTGTCATTTGCTAATTTAGTGGATGATGTTTGGGCTGTCCGGTCCATAGCCAAATATCCATTAATGCGGCAGACCCATCCATCATGTCTTGTTGGTTTGGCCTGCCTGCCACCGGTGCCTGTGCCCCATCAGCACAGGCGGTTTTCTGTCTGCTATCACTAATAGATATTAGTGGATGGGCCCCTTGTCCATTACCAACAGATCCGGGTGGCCACCTCTAGTTGCAAACCTAGGTGCTTTTTCTGTCGATTGCTCTTCATGAAGGGTGTCGATCTCTAGGCTTCAGCTCAAACACTGAGAGCACCCTACACTTATGGTACTATGAAAGCCACAGGAGAGGGGTATCACCTGTGGGTGGAGCTTCTTGGATCAGGGGTACAGGGTTTTGGTGGGGCACTGATGGGCTGGGTATGTCCAGATTTGGGGCTTAAGTCGTTTGGCTTTACCATGCAGATGATTCTTATTTTCTGCCAGTGATTTGCTGATGGCATTGACTAAACACATAATTGGTGCTCTGGTTCAATTTAAGTTATAAACAAAAAATGTATGATGCAAATGTGGCTAATCAAAAGTTGTTTTGTTTAATTCCAGACAGAGGAAGTATCTTGGCTGATACTTGGTGCTGGTTTGGGAGCAGTAGCCCCAATTCGGCAAATTTGGGGATGCCCAACACCCCCCTTTTGCATATGTTTTGGCCTTCAAGACTTGCCCATTACCCATGTTTGCATGGTGGGGGGCAACCCCAACTTCTTTTCCAGCAGGCATGCTAGTCTCCATTCTCAAAACTTGGGACGTGTTGCACACGTTCATGTGTCTGTTTATAACTGAATGTATGGTAGAAGTCGGCCCTACCTTCTGTTAAATAATGGTCCGCCCTACCATCCATTAAGTAGCCATGAATTGGCGGAAATCGAGGCTTGGGAGGCGACAGGGATGGCGGGAGATGGCCCGGGCTTAGGGAGCAGAAGGGAGTGAGGATTGGGGCCTCGGAAATGATAGGGAGGGAAAATAAAACTGCACTGCGCCGACGTGTCTTCCGGGAGCTGTGGAACGGAGCGCAAAACCGGCTCCGTAGCTCGGTTTCCGCGGAACAGGGTGTGCTGGCAACACACCGGCGCAACGCCTCTTCTCTCTCAAACACCAGGCACGCCACTCCCCGCTATCCCTAAGGCGTTTCCGGCCCTGATTAGATGGGATCGTAGGGCTAAATGCGGGCACTGGGTGTGGACAACACCGGGCCCACGGTGCTGTAATGCGCCTCCCTTTTTGTGTGTTCCATCCATCTCCAGCATGCTCTATTTGGAAGGCGTTCCTTCAGGCTATCCAGCTGGTTCACTGGCCAGCTCCTCCGGCCTTTTGGACTGCTGACATCCTAGCATCCACCCCGGCGCTGGTGGTCCAATGGCAAGCCATGCGCGGCGCCCGCTTTGCAGTGCTGCACCACTTCGCTAGGCCACTCCAACAACGTGACACCAATCCCTCAACACTTTACCGCACTGCCTTGTTGGGCAGCCCCAAGCCGCACTCTTGGGTGTCAATGCACCCATCC